GAGAGGGATAGAGAGTTAGAAACATCAATGAGAGAGAAACATCGATCAGCTGCCTCCTGCACACCCCCTACTGGGGATGTGCCTTCAACCAAGGTACATGCCCTTGACCAGAATCAAACCTGGGACCCTTCAGTCCGCAGGCTGACGCTCTATCCACTGAGCCAAACCGGTTAGGGCTCCTTTTGAATATTTGCTACATATAACCTTCGCTGTGAATCCATCTGTTTCTAAACCTCACTTCTCTCTTTGTAATGTGTGCAACAGTTATAGAGATAAAAAATTAACAGTAGTCACTTCTTTTACAGCAAGGAGTCTAATGGGAAAAAAGCAATAATGGAATTGATGAATTACTGAGCATATTCAGAAATCTGCATGCACACACACACACACACACACCTGCCTGTTATTATTTGAGGTATTTGAGTCTGTACAGGTACGATGGCCGAGCACAGCACCCCTTTAGTTACGTATTCCCTTTACTTTCGGTTCATTCTCACCGAGATTAGTGTATATTCTTTCCTGGCCCCTCTTTGGACCCACCCTCTCATGCAGTCACATGTCAGCGATCCCTAGGTAAGACCTGTGTCCCCTCCTGGTCTAACATTTTTCTGTATGAAATTAGTTGACTAGCGGTGCCCACGTGTGCCCTGTTTGACTGCACATCCTTTTATCTCTGTTCCTCTGTTGTTTCAGAGGCTGATCTCCGCAGATAGGGTTTCCCGGGCCTCTGTCAGCTGGCCTCCAGCTGGCTGTGTGCAGTGGGAGGAATCGGCAGGAGCCCAGAGGGTGGGAGAGGGGGAGGTCGGGTGTGTCTGCGTTTTGCATCTCCCATTAGCCAGACCAGCTGGTTTTCAGCTTCAGCCGGGAGACCCTGAACCTAGTATTTACTCTTTTTTTTGGGGGGGGGGGGGTCTCTGTGGCCCAAGGGGCTTAGAATGTCAGCTTGCGGGCCAACCCAGCCCTGTGTCTGTTTTCCCAAATAACAGCTGTATTGGACCACAGCTGCACGCATCGGTGTATAAACCATCTCGAGCGCCCGGCCGGCATGGCTCAGTGGTTGAACGTCGACCTATGAACCAGGAGGTTACGGTTTGATTCTGGTTAAGGGCACATGCCCGGGTTGCGGGCTCGATCCCCAGTAGGGGGCATGCGGAAGGCAGGCGATCAATGATTCTCTCTCATCATGGATGTTTCTATCTCTCTCCCTCTCCCTCTCCCTTCCTCTTTGAAATCAATAAAAAACATATATATTAAACCGTCTGGGGCTGACAGTGGCCGTGTGGAGTCTTTGGGACGGAGACCTAGTGGCCAACAAGCCTAATAAATGCTGACTGTCCGGACCGTCACAGGAAAAGGCCACCGCCCCTGCCCCAGCCGAGGAGTCCTAGACGCTTCCTACTGTTGCTTCCCCGAGGTTTTCTGATTTCTGTTTGGCTTCTCAGCATCTCCTTCAGCTGTGCAAACAGCACTCTATGTTGTGTGCCCTCCGTGTTCAATACCAGAAATAGTTTTCTTTGCCTGTT